AAAAAAATATCAGTTTTATTTTAATTATAACTTACTTAGGACATATACAAAATGATGAAAGAAAACATTGACCACCATTTTGACATAGAGTATTACATGGTTCTTGCTCAGGTACATAATCTATCATATACATATATATAAATCTATTTAATTATGAAAAAATGTAATTACCTTCAGAATCATTTTGAAGATAAAATCCATCTATAAATCTAAATAAAATTATTTTATATAAATTTTTATATTCAAATTGTTTTTTTACATACCTGAATAATAAGATAAACAAAAAATAAAATCTATGCATAACTGTATGTCATTCAAACAATTGAACATGATTTATATATAAAAATTCAATGTGTGATTTATGATAAACACAATACCGGCATTGACTTAGAAGTTAAAACATGCAATATGCGTCCAAGCGAACAAGAAATACGGTTGTTTCTTTTCTACTGTCAATTGTATTGTAATTAACATGTTTGTGACTATTCGTTTTATGTAATTGAATTTCTTTTTTTTTCTCTTTCTCTCTTCACACCCACCCTGTTCTCTAACTTCTTACGTCAATGTCCAACAGATATAATTAATGAGTAGATCGAATAACAGTCACCTTCTGCTCATTATATGCGCACGAGTTAATGACATAAGAGAAACGAAAATATATATACGTGCACAGTTGGAATTATTTCAAATGAACATTTGCTTAGCTTTAAATAAATTTATTATTTATCTTTGATTCTATTAATAGCTTAAAGTATAATATTCTCTATATGTTATTATAAAATATCAAGTGAATGTAAACTATCAAACAACTATGAATACAAATATATTAGATTATCTTTAATATACAAGTTTTTTTTCTCTGTCATCATGTTTAATAAGAAATATGATCAATCTAATAAAATTTTTCAAACTAGTCAGTCACACTTGACCTTTTATATCCAATAAGAAAAAAGAAAGAACAATAAATTTAACTCGTATATATATATAGATTGTAAATAGTATCGAGGTCAGTTCATTTTTCTTTTTATTTAGAAAGATGCGATCGAACGTATTTATTGGACTAATGATAATTACAATTCTATTAATAACTATGTCATCAATCACAATCGCAACAACGGAAATGAATATATCATCTCATCAAAGAGCAAAACGTTTCTTATTTGGTTTATTCTCACATGAAGGTTCATTTTGTCGAAAACAAGGAAAACGTTGTTTTGGTATAGATTCTGTGTGTTGTAGCGGACAATGTAAAAATATTGTTTTTCGTAGTGATCGATGTATTTGATTTTTGTTTTTGTGTAGTATTTCATAATTTCAAATAAACCTGCTGTAGATCATGTGTGATTAAAACAGAAATCATTTACGTCATATTAGATATAGATGTTGGTAAGAAAGGAAGAGAAAAAAACAGAAAAATAGTTTATTTTTCCATATCTGCGGTGTTTATTAGTTGGCATTCATCTTGTCCCAGATTACCACCCTTTTCTTTTTGTCTTATACACAACTACATATATCTCAAGATGATAGCAACCAAAATAAGAGAGAGCCGCCTTAAGAAGAACGTAATGTACATCATCACAGCCTCGCCAAATGATGCATATGCATCGATAGAAGAGCAAAAGAAAAAAAAGAACGACGAAACACAGACATTGCTACTACCGAAAGTAATAGAAGGGAAACCACAGAAAATATATACATAGTAAGAAGAAGAAGAAGAATAGTATCCCTACATTAGGCATCTTAAGGTCATATTAACTTTGGTTCATTATTATGACGGATATTGTGAGCCAAACAGTTGATGTTCTTGATTGTTATGAAGGTCGTGATGCAGCTATTACATTTACACTTTATTTATGTTGTTTAATAAGTGGGTTTTATTCACGTAAAACCAAATTACATAAATCTTTACAACGCATCTTTCATCGACTTGAAGATTGTCGTGTTGTCTTACGTCTTTATGATGATTTGACAATTCTTCGAGATTTATTTAGTTATGAATTGAGACCTGGTGTAAGATATTCGAATATTTTTTACTATTCATATAGATTTTTATTTTTTTTTCGTAGGAACGAAATTGGATTGTTCGTTTCTTAAAATTTGCTCATTATATAGCATGGCTTGGTTATTATCCATCAGAACATATTGCTTGGCTCGGAGAAATGAAAATGATTGACATTGATCATAAATTATGGGAATTTTATACAAATTTTTTCTGGTCTACCGCTTTAATTACTTGTGCTCTCTGGTAAAGATATCCTTTTTATTTATTCGTGATGTTATTTTTTTTTAGGAATGCTTATGTTGTTTTACAATATATGGTACAACAAAGTTATAGTATACAAAGACAAGAAGAAGAGTAAGAATTGATTTATTGATTGATTTACTCTATTTTTAATATATATAGGAAAAAATCATTTATACCATGGACAGCTGCTCGTAATGCAATGTTGGCAACGGTGCGTGATGGTACAGAATTTATGGTTGCTGTTAATTATTTACCTCGTGGTTATTTATGGGCATCAACATTAACCTATATTCAAGTGGGTGTATTGGGTACATGTTCAGCTTTCTTACGTCTTTATGGACTTTTCAATTTTGGTCATGGACATTAAGTTCTCCCTTAGTCTTTTCTTCTCTACCATTAGAGCAGATATTTATTTTTCGCAATTCAATTACGATTTTACCTTTTCTCAACCTTGAATAGACATCTATAAATTTTTTACTTCTTCTTTTTCTACTTGGATATGGAAAATTTTGCTTTTAAGATGCGTGTATGTTCTTTGTCATTTTTTATTCTGGAATATAAATGACAGAAAAAGATTTAATAATACTCAATGTTATTAGAAATATCAAGGTTCGATTTATTTCAGCTAATCTATCAAAAGAATAACATTGTTTTATTCATTGTGCAACAAAATTATATATTTAAGATTATTTGTTACACATGAAACGATAGTCTTTATAGTAAAAGGATAATTTTAAAAGAGATGTTTACTTTATAAGAGTTTTCATAATATTGAATTGAATTTTGATTGTAAGCTTTCGTAAAAAAACATGACTTTTTCAATATTGACTTTCAATGTTTACTACACATCATTGTTGTTATTAAATATCAAAAATATGTTTATATATGAATATAATAATTTAATATTTAATATTTTTTTGCTTGTATATAACTTCTGTTCGAGAGTTAGATTATTCATAGATTCTCACAACATACTATTACGCTTGTTTTATACAGTGGGTATATTATCGTTCCATGACTACATGATACAAAGACTACTGCATGACTATGTTCGTTGCAAGTAATACACAAATTAGCTGTTGATGGCTCCGGTTTTTGTTTGGCTATGCCATTGTGAGTTGATTCTTGAATACCAGAATATATTGTGTCATCACTAAAATGGTTATACTTATTTATCCGACTGATTTCTTCATGTGCGACGCCATCTTGAGCGTGGGTGTGGGCCTCTATCATCCTATAACTCAGCCAAATTCGTTCGTAAGATTGAATCTATTTGAAATTTCTGCAATTGACAATGTTTTTGTATATACGTAAAAATTCACCTTTACTTTTACATTCAAATCTATTATGTTTAACAATGTTATTTGATTGCTTATTCTAGAATATTATATAACGTTCTTATTCAAAATGACTAATAGGTATATTGTGAGTAAGTAAAATTGTATTGCGTGTGCTTACCTCTGAATCGAATATTCTTTTGACGACGTCCCTTCTCTCTATGCCTACGCTCCATTCGATTGGCTCGCGGGTTTTTTCTCTCCTGTTCTGTGATTGCTATTTCTATGTTGGGTTTTTTCCAAGTAACGTTTTTCTTCATATAAAGTAAGGGTCCGTATAAAAAGCCACAGGTATTTATGTATCGACACATTACTATACAGGTTTCTTTCATGCTTCTATATTAATGGCACGTACAATTTCTCGTAAAAACCTCGAATTTTAAGTAGCTCAGTATTTAATATCGCTTTTTACAACTATAAATCTAGTATTATGTATTGATTGACTTCTGCATAATCGATCAAACTATAATACCCGTAATAGTTTCGGCAATAGGTATAATCATTTTTTCTTGTTATTCATAGAAAAATTTTCCTTTAGTATAGAACTATATATATAATATTTGTATGAAGCAATTTATGTCGAAGTTTTAACATGAACAATAACATTATTTACGTACTTCTAATGTAAGATTTATTATTTCATTTAAATATACGTATACTATTGAGAAATAGAACATTTTTTTAAAGTTTATTACTTACTTTCTAGATTGCATACTAGTATTTACTAATACAAAGACTAACTATGAACGGTTTCAATGATTTCATAAAAAATTTTCCATCAGACAATCATAAGATCGTAGGCAAAGGATTGAATTGCCCTAGAGTAAGTAAAGAACAATTATCGTTAAAATCAAATACTGCAAACTCAAACATTATATCTGTTGTATCGACATTAAGCAAGAAACCAGGAATTTACACTCAAAATAATTTATATGCTGCTGGATTTCAGTATACTGGTAATGGAGATACAGCTCGCTGTAAAGACTGTGGACTTGAAGTATCGAATTGGACGGCAACTATGCATCCATATACTATTCATTCAAAACAAAGACCTGAATGTCCCTTCATTCTATCTTTGAAACAATCTATAATACCAAATAAAGCTTCTGCTTTATCAACAACTACTACTAATCCAAGCATATCAATAAAAACTGAACCAGAAAATCCATCAAAACGTCAGAAAATTGAACCAATCAATTCTGATATTTCATCAAATACATTACTCGAAACAAATCTACTGAAACAAGTACGACGAAGAACTTTTTCTCATTGGTCACGTCGTACAATTCCATCAACGGCACAAATGATAGAATCTGGCTTTTTCAACTGTAATGTAGGTGATCGAGTAATATGTATTTATTGTAACCTCATATGTCAACAATGGACGCCACACACTGATGATCCATGTGAAGTACATAAAACTCTTTCACCCAATTGTATATATGTTGCAGCTAATTTAATACGTCCTGCAGCTTCATCTACAATTATTGTTAATGAAAATTCAGCAAGTGCATCGTCAAATATTCATTCATCAACATCAGCTAGTCACGATCCATTAACATCTAATGAAATTATATTTAAAAATACATCTCATTCTGCTGATACTGAAATATCAAAACAATCACAACAAAGTATATTAGAATGTTAAAACTGTTTCAATTAAATCTAATTTTTTTTCTTTTATTTAGAACATGCTAAAGAAAATGAATTAAAAGGAAGAACATTTATTGGTATATCATCAAATAGTACTTTAACCATCAATAGTCAACAATTATCAATACCTGATGAAAGTACTCTATCTCGACTTGTTGCAGCACGACTAGAACTACCAATTTCACAGCGTTTATTAGATAAAAAAATTAAGCTATCTATTATAAAAAGATGTTGGGAAGATCAATTACGATTAAAACGTAAGTTAAACAAACTGAAATATATTATTCTGTATTTTTCAATATTCGTTTTTTTTCAGAAGAGGATTTTATATCAGGGTGTGATTTATATATTGCTTGTTTAATTCTTCAAAAACAGATCGAACATATTAATGGTAAAAAAGAAAACATTGTTGTGCCAAGTATAAAAATGAAGCAAATTAGAGAACAAATTCAAAATCAGCGTAAGTTTTTATGATGATCATTCTGAAATAAAATGATGTACATGCGTTATATATATATATATTAAACAAATTATCTTTTCATAGAAAATGCGATACATTTCATGGAAGACAGAAATAAAACAATAGAACGTGAACAATCATTTACTGAATGGATTCACCCGTCACTATCTCCAGTTAATATGGTTACTAGCGGATGGTTGTTGGATAAAACGAAATCCAGAGACCATACAAGATGTCAATATTGTAATGCAGAATATCACAATTGGCAACGTGAAGATAATCCCGAGTTTATTCATAATCAATTGTCCGCATCCACATATTGTCCATTTCTCCTGTCTCCAAATCCAATGCATCCAAATTCGGTATCCATTAAACCTTTACAGGAAGTAATAACAAGAGAAATTATAGCTAATGAAAAAGACCAACCGACGTCAGATATCATTGAAACTTCATTTTTGCCTTATGCTGATCCATTAACACGACGACAATCGTTTTCTAAATTTCCTGGTGGACAACTACAAAATATGAGTGCATTAGTTCAGTCTGGATTTTACTTTACAGGTAATGATACTATCCTTCAGTGCTACAATTGCTCAGGTAAAGTCAATGATTTGCATCAGTTTTCATCAAATGAAATCAATGCTCAACATTGTTCTCGATTTTCAAACTGTCATTATGCTCAATTATTACCAAAACAAGCTGAAATAACGTCTATAAGTAAGTTTTATCTATATAAAACTAAAGAATTGCACTATCTTTTACCTAGATGATGTCAATCTATGTAAATGGTGTTTGATTAATCCTAATGAATTGGTTGTATATTCTTGCAATCATCGAGCTATTTGCAAATCATGTGCTCCAGTGATAAATACGTGTCCGGTCTGCGGTATTGTAGCAAAAGCGTTTATGACAATACCCATGTAAATTTCAAATGATTGTATATCTATATTTTATATTGTTTGATCTTATTTATATTTTACTTCTAACCAGAATTGTGACCGGTCCGGTACCGGTGAATGAAGTTGAACCGGCCGGTTCTCATTGATTTTTACCGTTGTATTTCAAGTGGTCAAACCGGCCGGTTTTGTCGGTTTTTATTTCATTTAAATTTTTCTTGTAATGTAAATATAGTTTGTCATGCTAGATTTGAATGAAATAATAAAAGCAATCAGATTGAATATCGACTTTACAGAAAGGAATCTAATCTCGTGCAATATAAATTTTATATTTAGTTTTCTAATGAACTCTCTGACATTCAGAATCGCATAACAGCATCCTTGAAAAGACAAATGTGGAATTGCATATACTCAGAAAATAATTTAAGATAGAATATCAATTTTATCAGCTGTAAAAGTTGTACGAACGTACCGGTTTATAACGGTCTAGAAAAACTCTTAGACCGGCTCGGTCGAGTATTTTTTCGACAGGGTACAGCCCTGCTTCTAACTCTCTTACAAAGAACTTTAAAATATTTGCTTATTGTAAAATATGTATTAATGTATTATATTTTTAACTGAATCTAATTTATCAAAATATTAATATATAATATTTCTGTCTATAGCGTAACGTACTTTTTACGTAGCACTTGCTCTTACCAATTAAAGTTACTGATACATATAAACAATTGACAGAAAATATAGCATACTCACGATTGTATATTAAGACTTATATTAACATAAGTTTAGCATCAAATTATTTTAACTATTCATTTTGGCTGATTTTGATATATTTGTTATAATTCAAAATGAACAATTCATGATAAGTTAATTAAAATCTCATAATACTACCGTTTTTTGTATGTGATTGTCAAACTATTCATACATACTTGAGATTGTCGTAATAGCTAATTACTCTTTCAAATTTAATATAGATAATGTTTGATTATTCATATTTTTATCTTGAGGGTGTGGGTAGGTGGGTGTGGGTAGGTGGGTGTGGCTGTAGCTGCTAGATAAGTATAGTAACAATACTCACATCCATATCTATATTCGCTGCCATACCCACACCCTCAAGACTATACCTACAATATTTTTATTCATGAAAATGAAGATTTATAAAAAATAACTCAAATATTATTTTTGCACGATAGACAACTTATATACTTTGTTACCATCGAGAAGAAAAAGATTACCAAATTTATCAATTCGAATTGCGGTTGGCGAATGAAGCATAAGTTTTTTTAAATCATCTTGAAAACCACCAATAATTCGACTTTGATTTGTCACTATATTTAATTGAGTAATAGTATACTTATATGTATCAATATAATAAAGATATCCATTACAATCCATTGTTATTGCTATAACATACGTTAAATTTCCTACGACTGTCGTACCTTCCGTTGCATTAACTGTCCATTTTTGAATACGTTTATTGTTCCAGTCAGCTATATATAATGTCAAATCATCGGTAACAACAAACCCCACTGGATCGAATAAATCAGTCATTTGGTTTGGATTGTACTGATTCTTTCCAGCGAGAAAAATTTTTTCCATATAATCTGTTGATGCTAACCACTTCCTAATATAAAATCTTGTTCCAATATATATATTCATTTCTTTATCCAATGTAAGATGAGGGCGAGCTTGCCCAAATAAATATTCACCTTCTTCACTTATTAAAATTTTTCCATCATTTTCATTTTTCTTCCATAAATGAATTCGATAAGATGCATGATATTGTAATCTACTTGCGTATTTTTGACCAAAATCTATAATATACATATCCTCTGTATTAGTATCAACAAAAATAGATTGTGGTGAAATAAGATCTTGATTAGCAACAGTAATACCAGTTGCACCTACTTCCGTGTCATAGATTTCATTTAACAAATATTTTAGTATTCGATCGTTATTCGTGTCAACAACATAGAGAGTATCATGAATATTATCAATAAATAGATCGCTTGGATCACATAATTCATTTTCATTTGAAAGACATCGACCATGTCGATTAATAAATAGTGTACCTTGTGTATTCCATGTTGCATTTACAGATGGGATAGAACATGATTTTGATGAAAAAGTAAGTGCTTCTGTTGATGCTAAATAATTAGAGATCTAGATTATTGTTAAAAGAGAACATTGATCTTACTTGTTGGTGATGAATTTGGTATAGTTGTACTTGTAGTTATGGGAGGTATTTTAGTTGTACTCGTCGTCGTGTCAAATATTGTAGATGATTGTGATTTACTAGATGATGATCGACTTGAAATTTTGAACAGAATTACTAGTATAATAACTAATGATAATGTAACTGCACAAGCAATTGAAATTCGTTTTTTCGTTAAAATAGATGTTCTAATTACAGTAGGTGGGTTATTATGATTTGAATCTAATAACGGATCATCTTCGTCTTGGTCTTGCTGATCATTTTGATTATTAGTTAAAAAAGAAGTTTGTTCGAGAATATTTTCTTCTACTGTGTTGTCACATGTTTCTGTCATTGTTTCCAATTGTATTAATTCTTCTTCCATTTCAATCAATGTCATATGCTTAAGTGGATAAATATTTCGATAAAATCTCAATACTTGATGATATCGACTAAACTTTGATCCTTTTTATATAATTCTACTAATTTTATACGACAATTGCGAAATACGATCTGAAAAAGAATGTTGAAGTGTATAAGGGTTAAAATTTGCATCTACCTCGCCCTCACGTGCCGTTACATGCAACTTAATTAATCAATTAAATACTTTATTAGCTACTGTAAAGTCCGACTGACACCTCAACGATTCTTTGTATTCTATTACAAACCATGTTCGTTAAAGAAGTATAGACTAGCATCAACACAAAATTAGAGACTAAATATGCGTTATCTAATATAGGAAGCTCCATTATACTTCATATTGTTAATTCCGCAGTAATTGCGCTAACAGCTTTCTCAGTTGATAAATAATTGAATCTTATGTTATTATTAAAGATATCCATTGCTTTTCGATAATAATAAATATCATTTGATAAATCACCCATTTTCTGAAGAATTTACCCAATAGAAATATGTTTTGGATTTGATAAATATTTTTCGTGAACAGTTAATTGTTCTTCGCAAAATTGAAGTGCATTTGTATTATCATATGATGTTGTTCCTGATGATAAAATTGTATTTAAATGACGATTTTCCAATAAAAAGGAAATTTTAATGATGATAAAAATCGATCAATTAATATTTTTTAATTAATCATGATCTGTACAAATATCGATAGCATAAGTTAAATTTAAATATTTCTTACATTTATTCTCATCATTACAAAAAATAATTTCCTACTAAGCTAAACTTTTAAAAGTATTGAAACGTATGAAACTGGTGCAATCAATAAATATTTACTTTCGTGAATAACATTTATTATTATGTATTTCTTTTAATAATGCTTTTACTCATAAAACATCTTGATGATCGACTTGACAATTTTGATGTAATCATATTGATGTAAATATATTCGATTTGTCTTTTTTCAGTAATATGATAAATTTGGTGATTTCGAAGAGAAACTGTACCCATTTTAGAAAAGAATGAATCAAAACAAATCGCAAAATACCTTTAATAGATAGACCATCCAGATGAAAGGAAGTAAATTTGATGTTTTCGTTACACTTGAATAAATGACCTTGAAAGAAAAAAGTAATATAATATTAAATGATATAAATCAAAAAATACTTTTTTCCATCATGTTATGTCTAGTTATTGTGAAATATCAAATACGTTTTATTCAATAGATTATAATTATTATAGTCATTAGAAATCAGTCAAGTAGAAATCAATTTAGATGAATTTTATTGATACTTTTTATTTGTATAATATTTATTCTAATTTTAACGATATAATAAATACGAATGTAATTATAATATCCAAAGAAAAATCAATAAATTCTAAAAGTCTAAAGTATTGAAATTTATTATTGAATAAAAAACAATTATTTTAAATATACCAAAACCTTTAAAACATAATAATTCGCATAGTTGTCAATTACTGAATAATCGAAAATATAATAAAAAGCTGTGAGCGCAATCTCTCTAGGATAAAAAATGTTAAACATGATCTATACAAAACAATAATTTAATTGAATACTGTGATATTGATCAAGGTCTATGACAATTAATTAAGATTTCAGTATTAGTATGTGACGTCTTTCCAATTTCTAGAATCTCTCGTCAGTACTGAGATACTTCCATTCGATAGCTGTCGAGAGATTGAGAATAGAAAGTATACTGTGCGATTCAGAGTCACATACAATCAACCAATATTCATATCAAACTACGTAATTTTGAACCAGTTCATATAAATTTGGTAGCAACCAAATAACTCTATGAATATATAGACTGGCAAAAGCAAGCCAAAAATATCGTAGAGCGACTCTCATATATTGATCGCATTGAACAAAACTCGACATACACTATATGTACAATCTTTTTATTCATAAAAATAATGATTTATCAAAAATAATTCAGATATTATTTCTGCATAATAGAATACTTATATACTTGGTTATCTCTGAGAAGAAAAAAATTACCAAATTTATCAAATTTAATTACATTTGCCTGATCACGAAGGCTTTCTATCAAATCATCTTCATTTCCTAGAATTATTTGCTTCTTATTGGTCACAATATTTAATTGATAAACAAGATTGAATGCCACAGTAAAATAAAGATATCGATTACAATCCATTGTTATTCCAGTAACATACGTTAAGTTTCCTGCTACTGTCGTACCTTCCGTTCCATTAACTGTCCATTTTTGGATACGTTTATTTCGTGTATCAGCTATATATAATGTCAAATCATCGGTAACAACAAACCCCATTGGGTAATATACATCAGTCGATTGTCTCGGATAGATTTCATTCTTTCCAGCAACAATAATTTTTTCCATATAATCTGTTGATGCTAACCACTTCTTAATAAAAAATCCTGTTCCAACATATATATTCATTTCTTTATCCAATGTAAGATGATGAGAAAGTACCCCAAATGAAATATCAGCTTCTTCACTTATCAAAACTTTTCCAGCATTATCATTTTTCTTCCATATGAGAACTTGATAGAAGAGATAACTTCTTTCAGGATTTTCTTTTTGAATAAGATCCATAATATACATATCTTCTGTATTAGTATCAACGAAAATAGATTGTGGTAAAAAAAGATTGTTACTAGCAACAGTAATACCGGTTGCACCTACTTCTGTGTCATAGATTTCATTTAACAAATATTTTAGTATTCGATCATTATTCTTATCAACAACATAGAGAGTATCATGAATATTATCAATAAATAGATCGCTTGGACCACATAATTCATTTTCACTTGAAAGACATTGACTAGATGGGTTAATAAATACTGTAAATACTCTACTCCATGATGCATTTCCATTTGGAATAAAACATGATTTTGATGAAAAAATAGGTGCTTCTATTGATGCTAAATAATTAGAGATCTAGATTATTGTTAAAAGAGAACATTGATCTTACTTCTTGGTGATGGATTTGGCATAGTTGTACTTGTAGTTAGGTCAGATATTTTAGTTGCACTCGTCGTTGTGTCAAATATTGTAGATGATTGTGATTTACTAGATGATGATCGACTTGGAATTTTGAACAGAATTACTAGTATAATAACTAATGATAATGTAATTGTACAAGCAATTAAAATTCGTTTTTTCGTAAAAGTAAAAGATGTTCTAATAACAGGTTCAATGATGACAGGAGAAAGTGGAGTATATGAAGATTTAGAAAGTGGACTATATGAAGATTTAGAAAGTGGGTTTTCATTATCAAAATCTGACATCTAAAAAATCATAAAAAAATATTTATCGAAGTAATTCTAATCAAATAATTTTTATATAAGAAAGTTTGTCTCGTCTACATTTTTTATCATTACGATTTGAATCTAATAACACATCATCTTCTTCTTGATCATTTTGATTTGAATCCAATAACACATCATCGTCTTCTTGATCTTCTTGATCTTCTTGATCGTTTCGATTAGCTGTCGGTTCGGAACTATTTTTTTCTACTGTATTTTTACGCATTTTTTTTCTTTTTTCCAATTTCATTAATTCTTTTTCTGTTTTAATTAATATTGTATGTTTAGGTGGGTAAATTTTCCGATAGATTTCCAATGCTTGTTGAATATTACTTTGATCATTTTTATCCAATTCTGCTAATTTCATAAGACATTTGGCAGTTGATAAATAATCATACCTTATATTATTGTTAAAGATAATCATTGCTTTTCGATAATAATAAGTATCATTTGATAAATCACCCATTTTCAGAAGAATTTGTCCAATAGAAATATGTTCTGGATTTGATAAATATTTTTCATGAATAGTTAATTGCTCTTGACAAAATATAATTGCACAAGTTTGTTTGTTTTGTTTATGATAAACATCAGCAAGTGCGTAAACACAATGAATTAATCGTGGATCGCCAATTGATAAATATTTTTTCCCCATTTCAAATGCAACGAGATAAAAACTTTCAGCAATATCATATTGTTTTTTTTGAAAATAAATATCACCTAAAACACCTTGACAAGCAAGAATATCTCCATAAGGTATTGGTTGAAATTGATGAAAGATTTCTCGTGCATCGAAACACATTTGTTGTGCCTTAGAATATTTCTTTTTTAAAAAAGATATTGTTGCAAGATTTAATTTTGTTATTGCTATATTAACTGGACTTTTTCCATGATCCAACATTTTGTTGTAATATTCCTCGGCTGTTTTTAGATCACCAGTAGCTTTATAGTAATTTCCAAGATGGTTGTAAGTAATAAACATATTAGGATCATCTGTGGAAATGATTTTTTCTTTTTCTTTATATGATGATTGAAAATATTCAAATGCACTATTGTAATTGTTCATACGCATTTGTAAATCACCCAAATATTCATCAATGAGTGGTCGATCTGCATGTTTCGGATTAGGTAAATTTCTTAAATTCATATTAAAATACGACTCAGCTTTATCATATTGATGCATATCAATTAATAATTTTCCAAGAAAAAGATTTATATTTATTGTTGATAATTTCTTTAGAATCGGTTCGATTCGTTGTTTTATATCCATAATACATTCATCAGAAACATGCATTCGAATTCGCCAAAATTCTTCTTCTTTTTGGTAACTATCAATTTTAAAAACTGTTCCAATATTAAAAAGAATTTCTTCTTCAGGATTATCTTTATCTAGAAATTGATTGATATCGACAAATATTGTATGTTTTAATTCATTTGCATTAACAGTTATTTCAAAAATCACTACATGAAAATCTTCAGTGTCTGTAGCATCACTAATAAAGATTTTCGCGATATCAAATGATTTGGATGTTGAAAAATATCCATTACAAGAAATTAATCCACCACAATTTGAAGTAATATTATGAAACTCTCTTCTAGGTAGACGGGATTGTCCACGATAAACAATGAATTGTTCTTTTTTATTTTGTTGTCGATGAACTTCTTCAATTTGTTTACATAAGTCACTAATATAAAATCGAAATGTATACCAAATTGCTGAATCTTCAGTTCGAAATGCTTTATTAATTAATGGATAAACAAATGTCTCTTTTGTATACCATTCGATTGCATCATCTGATTTATATGAGTTATCAAATATTTCAATATATGAAGTTTGTGTAGGATTATGTCGAAAATAGTTTTTAATTTGTTTTACCATTGAATCTTTTGCTTGAATAATATTTGATGATTGTTTTAATATTTCAATAAATAAAATATATGAATAAAGTGTATTTGTATTATTATATGATGTTGTTCTTAATGTTAATATTGTATTTAAACGACGATTTTCAAGTAGATTACTTTTTAATGATAGTCCAAAGCGTTCGATTGATACTTTTAATGAATTATAATCTGTGCAAATATCAATAATATAAGGCTGATTTAAGTGCTTTTTATATTCATCATATTTTTTACAAAAAATAATCAATGGTAAGCGTTTATCACGAAATTTATTTAAAAGTATTTTAGCATATGAACCAGATACAATTAATAAAAAATTTTTTTCGAAAGTATGATTTTTTTCTAAATCATTGCAAAATTCATCAATATTATTATAGAAAAGACATTTATCATCAATTTGTTTTAATAGTACTTTTGTTTGTAAACTATCTATATGATCTTCTCCACAATTTTGGTCTAACCATATTAATGTAAATGAATCTGATTTGTCCTCGTCAGCAACATTATTAATTTGACGATCTGGAAGAGAACGTACATCCATTTGAAAAATCGATCACCACAGATATATTTTATCAAAAAGAAAAAAACAAGTTTTTGTTTTCATATTTGTATAAAAACTGCGATCATTCGATCCTGACAGTATATGAGAAACCAAACGAAAAAGAAAAAAACAAGTTTTTCAAATCGTTCGTCAATACGAGTCATTCAATTAAAGGGAAGTGTATACGACGTTTTCGTTACACTTGAATAAATTTCCTTTGAAAAAATAAAGTAATAATATACCATTTGATGAAAAATATCTTTGTTTCATTGGTACGTCTGCTATTATGCCCAGTTTTTGTGATACAAGATATACATCTTATTCTACAGATCATATTTCTGACAATGATCATATTATTGTCGATAGTAGACAGCCAAATAGAAATTGGTCTAGACGGAGTATATTTATATATGCTATTTGCATAATATTTATTATAATTTTAACGATAATAACGACGAGTTTGATTATAATATTCAAAAGAAAACCAATAAATTCTACAAGTTTAAATGATCAAAATTTATTATTGAATGAAAACAAAATTATTTTAAATATATCCAACTTTGTAAAACAAAATAATTCATTTAGTTGTCAATTACCGAAGAATCCAGACTATAATAAAAATGGAATTGTTGCTGCTGGAGTTTTTGCTACATCCACGGATGAATTAAATAAACTTCACGGACCAACATCTGTTTATCTTGATCATGAACGAAATATTTATGTAGCTGATACAATGAATCATCGAATTCGAAAATATTCGCCTGGAAATTCCGATGAAGGTTTAACATTGATTGATGAAACATCGAATGTAAATTATCCACATTGTTTATTTATTGATCATGAATCGAATCATTTATATTTTCTTGATCAAAATAGTCAAGGATATTATCGTGTACAATTACTTAAATTAAATTCAAATCTATTAAAATCAACAATTCTTGTTGTTGGAAATCAAACGAGATCATATGGAATGACTTTAGATCAATATTTAAATATTTATGTAACAGAATACAATCATCATCGAATTATAAAATGGTTATCACCAGATTATGAACAATATGTAATCGTTGTTGAAAATAATTCAAATGAATTAAGTTATCCAAGAAGTATTTATTTTGATCAAATAGCAAATAATTTATATATTGCTAATAAAAATCGGATTCATCGTTGGTCAGTTAATTTAAATAAGAGTGAAATTGTTATGCAAGGTGGATCATTTTATCCAAATGGAATTGAATACGATTGTCATGGAAATCTTTATATATCTCAAGATACAACAATTAAATTAATTAGTAACAGAACAAGTATACATGGACTTGATATTATTGGTTATTCACACCCTGGTGATGCTAGTATATATTCAAAATCAACTTCAACTGCTGATTTCTATAATCCCGAAGGAATTTATCTTGATAAAACAAATGGAGATTTGTATGTAGCTGATTCAGGTCTTAATCGAATACATAAATACGCTATTAAAAATTAATCTTTTATTTTTTTGTTCTTTTTCTGATTGTATTCGTCCTATCTTGAGGGTGAGGGTGTGAGTATAGAAAAAAATCAGATGCTAACACCTGAATTCTCACTTCATATCCTTGTTCACCATTAGGACTGAAAGTTGTTTGTCAATCACAGAAGAAATTATCGAAATATGTATTGCCTCTTTGTTTCTGCATAAAATATCGTAAAAATACACATGCGTCATGCAAAGATACATATCTCAAAAATTATATTTTGCTAGAATCAATAAACTATCAGACAAAGATAAGATGACATTGTCATCTGGAATTCAAGGCGTCATCCTCCAAGTAGAGATCGATGCTAGTTCAGAAAGTTTTGAACCGTACAGCGCAAGTGTAACAGTGGATTTGGTACTTTTTCTTTTCAAGTATTTTTGAGTATAGTCTATACATGCTCAGAAATACAAGTCGATTATGTTTTATAAAACAATAGATATTTTCATTGCATATATTTTTTAATCTAATTTTTTTTACATGCAAAGTGTTGGCTATAGGGACGAAAAACAAATCTGTGTAGTATAATTGTTAGTTAAGTGACACATTGTGATCATGTACCATTTATCCCCTGTCTTTCATCGTTCTATCAGAAACTATTATTATTTGACTCATTGAACTAAAAAAGTGAATCTATATTCTGTTTAAATTCGAATTTTTTTCTATCGAATTTAGCTGCAGTGAATAACTGGAAGATTGCATTGGATGGAAACCATCTTGAGGGTGTGGGTGTGGGTGTAGGTAAGGATGTGGAAGAGCATGATAGCGAAGCAGAGACACCCACACCTCCTTAACAGTATGATTTGCTTAAAAGAATTCTTTATAAATATATATATTTGGTTTTGACAGTGTTGATTATATGAAGTGTATATTTAGATTAGAATATAGTCGAGGAAGTTAACTATATGATAAAAAATCAATTGATTTAACAGCTGAAATCTATTTTTCGACAGAGAATATTATGTTGCATAATTTCGAATATATCATTAAATTATTTTACGCATCAATTGCTGTTTAAAATTAAACTATATTTAACTTTAATTTATTAAATGTCGTCTACAGATATGTAATTAGAGTTTGCCAACAAAAAATAACTAATTATCACTCAATTAATTTCTTTGCTGATCTGTTCAGTTTTGTACATTATTTTTTGAATAACTTTCGAAACTTAGGTATGAAAAAAAAATTATAACCTTTAGTCTTAGTAAAACATATATTTTGTTTATGCTTTTATACATGTTTTCGTATATCAGATTTTTATTCATATATTCTCATTTGATTATATATATATATGACGTGATCGAGTATATAAACATGCTTATTCATAGACTCTTAACTCGCTTTGCTTACTCATTTTTGAGGAGGTAAAACAAAAAATCGATTTATACATCGACTATTACTGCAGAACAAGAAAAATATACTTGTATACTCTTCACGTTTTTATTTAGCTTCTCTATTTATTCACATCCATTATACTTTGATTATCTGTAGACAGTATTTAACGGTAAGCACTGTTCTACTACATGTATTTAGTCTTTAATATTTAACGAGATTTTCATATTACGATTTCTTGTTCTGACAAAAATGTGATTCTAAATTATATTATGCTTTCGTTTTTGTAAACATGCGAAGAAGTCAGCACTCTATGAACCGACAGTCTTTATATATAGATGATACATACATTTTTCATGTACTAGTTCTTATAAAATAATTACAATTAACAAATAAACTAGAGCTTTCGACACATCAACCGTCATCATCAATATTCGTACATCATAAAAAAAAACAATGATAAAAAAATATTTCCGTAGACAGAATAAATCTATTTCTTCGTCATAGATTTGCTTACAACTGAAAATGACACAAACATCACTAAACTCACGATCTTATGATCAGTTGACTGCATCAGCAGATGACATTGCAGATGAAAACAATACAGTCATATTTCCACCACAAAAAATAAGTTTATTTCACCGGATGATCGACTCCTTCAAACGTGCACCACAATCTGAACATGTTTCCATTGAAATGAATCAACGAGAAGAAGGAGCCAATTCGAATAATAATGTTGAGGAAGATGAAACTGGTTTGCATCGAACGTTAAAAAATCGACATTTACAAATGATTGCCATTGGTGGTGCGATTGGTACCGGTCTTTTTGTTGGTTCTGGTACTGCTCTTGCAAGTGGTGGACCTGGCGCGCTCGTTATCGACTTTGTTATTATTGGATTCATGCTTTTCAACGTATGTATGGCACTTGGAGAACTCTGTGTCATTTTTCCTGTGTCGGGTTCGTTCATCGTTTATGGTTCTCGTTTTCTTGATCCTGCATGGGGTTTTGCTATGGGATGGAATTATGCTTTGCACCGATTGATTGTTGTACCACTTGAATTGACAGTTGCTGGAATCGTCATTAACTACTGGACAACATCAATTAATGTTGGTGTGTGGATCACTATTTTTCTTGTTTTTCTTCTTGTTATCAATCTTTTTGGTGTTCGTGGCTATGGAGAAATTGAATTCTTCATGTCTATCATCAAAGTTATCGCTGTTATTGGTTTCATCATTCTTGGTATTGTTCTAGTATTCGGAGGTGGTCCAAATCATCAATATATAGGAGGTAAGTATTGGAATCATCCAGGTTCATTTGCCAATAGATTCAAAGGTGTATGCTCCGTTTTTGTCACTGCTGCTTTCGCTTTTGGAGGCACAGAATTAGTCGGATTGGTAGCTGCAGAAACGGATAATCCACGAAAGACGATTCCTCGTGCAACGAAACAAGTCTTTTGGAGGATTACAATTTTCTATGTTGTCTCATTGGCATTGATCGGCTGTTTGGTACCTTATACATCGCCACGGCTTCTGTCTGGATCATCGAGCTACGATGCGTCCGCATCTCCTTTTGTGATTGCCATTGAAGATGCAGGTATCAAAGTGTTACCTTCGATATTCAATGCTGTGATTCTTTGTGCTGTTCTTTCAGTGGGTAATTCTTCTGTTTATGGAGCATCTCGAACACTTTGTGCGCTTGCTGAAAATAATCAAGCGCCGAAACTATTCACTTATATTGATCGTAAAGGACGTCCGCTCTCCGCCGTTGCTCTGTCTATAATTATTGGATTTATTGCGTATATTAACTGTGCAAAAGTCGGCACTCAAGTGTTCCAATGGCTACTGGCTCTTTCTGGTTTATCAAGCTTTTTCACGTGGGGTTCTATATGCGCATGTCACATTATGTTTCGATTAGCATGGAAAGCACAAGGTCACACTTTGGATGAACTTGCTTTTACAGCACCCTTCGGTATACTTGGAAGCTGTTGTGGTCTTCTACTCAACATTCTATGTCTTATTGCTCAGTTCTATATAGCTGTATCTCCTATTCACGGTTCTGTAAGTGCGCAATCATTCTTCGAAGCCTATCTTGCTGCTCCAATTTTGATTATCTCCTATATCATATGGAAAATATGGAAGAAAACACCTTTCATGCGGCCTAGTACAATCGATCTTCAAACTGGAAGACGTATGCTCAATGTACAACAGTTGATTGATGAAGAAAAAGCAGAGCGTAGAACTTGGTCTATATGGAAAAAAGTGTTTTATGAATGTTGTTGAGCTGTTCTTTCATTATATTAAATCTTACTTTACATAGGTTTTGTACATTGCTATGTGTCTGTAAATAGTATATTGCAGACAAAAACAGTAGCCTTTGTAATGTAATGAAAACTGCTAACGTTGATTTTTTCTCTCTCTCTTGTGCATTCAATAAATAGAATATTCGCTTTTTCATCTCATAACTCGAGTCTGACTTGAGAGTTCAAAGTTGTGCTGACAACTGATGGGTGTGGGTGTGGCTGCTAGATAAGTACAGTATCCATACCCACCCCCTCAAGATGGCTTTCTTTATGCCACTGAGTAATGTAAGAAATAATATAACGCAATGTTTGCTGAATTGAAACAGAATTATTTATGCTGTTCTGTTTTCAATTTTCAACGAAAAAAAACACATAAAATGATTTTCGACGATAATAAACATCATGATGAAAGAACAACAACACTGTTTGAACAAGAATATTTTGAAGGTGTGACGTAGGTTTGTGAGGAATGGGTGAGATATGGGTGCAGATATGAGTGAAATCTCTGTTATTTAACTCACACCCTCAAAATTGAGTCGTATTTCCTATGGCACATCGCTGGTATTTTCGTTCTATATCCTTGAGAATTTGGCAAAGATCCTGCAAGGATTCCTTGTGTTTTTAGTTGCAGGAAGCCTCAGAACAATCACTATGACAAGCTATTCTAGTATTATTTGTCATCAAAATTAACATTAGTTCATTTCCTTCTCCTGAAGAGACATTTTTTATCAATATTTGAATCTTATTCTTGTTCAATCTGATGTTCCCACGTATCGAAATAAAAGATATCGTTGAGTACATTTTCATTGTAACATAGTTCATCTGCAATAATTAAATTCTGAGGTTAAATTTCACGTTATCTAGGATCTGTTGCTGTAGGATATTTATTAATTTTACTTCCTTTTTAGAGAAAATTTATTATGAATGAAATATGCATTTACATTGAAAGCATTCAAAGTAATATAACGTAAAAATATTAATCAAGTTCATTATTTGATATAGTTGATACAATATTAAGCGGAATAACTTGATTTTGATGAATACAGTACCAATTTTTCCATCGTTGCCAACATCTTTTCACTAAAACATATTT